TAAAATTTCGTCGTTATGTGGAATTATACTATAACACGATTACTTCCAGTTGGAAAGATATTTAGACATTAAAAATGCCGTTTGCTTAACTGTATCTTTTTTGTCAACAAACTTTCAGGCTTTCACTATGATACTCTTAAACCCTTCAGCACGTTAGAGTTTTAGTAAAATTGAACGGAACAAAAAAATTAAATGGTCTAGGTCATCTTGAGGTCGTTTCGAGAAAAATCTATAAAAAGCCTTAAGCATGATGTAGTGGCGTCGGTGGCCTAGTGGTTAGGCTTCTGAACTCGTAATCATGAGGTTGCGGGTTCGGGGGTTCGAGCCGTGGGCCGAACGTTGTGTCCGTGGGAAAGTCACTTTACACAAATCTTCCTCACTTCACCCAGGTGGGAATGGGTACCCGTCCTTAGACTATGAAAGATCTTGTCAGTATGTTAGTGTTTTGGCGCCTATAAATGGCAGCTTGCACAGTATGCTTCCAAGGAAGTTGAGGTTGTTTCTGAATGCTCTCAGGTCTGCTGGGGTAATAGTATAGATTGTGAAGCGAATAGAGCTTGCTGTTGAGCGGGAATTTGCGCTATACAAATGCTATCTATTATTAGCAGTACAGAAGTTGAGCACTTTGTAATTGCCATAATTCGGATTAGGCGGAAGAAGAAGAATATGAGACTACTTCAAGACATACGGAGTTGATAACTTGGTTTTTCTGTTAGATATTACTAGTCTCTGCGCCCACTGGGCTCTATAAGTCAAAGGGTAGAGTTGAAGGGTTCACTTTGTTCGATGACTTTACCATGTTTACGAGGTATATAAAAAGATCAGCTTTCACACAGTTCCTTTTGTTTCAAATTAACCCCCCCCCCAAAAAAAAAAAAGAAGAAGAGAGAAATAATAATAATAATAATAATAATAGTAGTAATAATAATAATAATAATAATAATAATATTAATAATAATAATAATAATAGAAATAATTGAAAAAATATATAAAAAATTTAAAGGATTAACACTTCATTACCATCATCTATCCCGTAGACTGGATGTCCGTCGGTGCACTTTTGAAGATTTGGCCACCAGCTTCCTCAACACCGTCCGTCTTCAGCTTTCCTGAGTGTGTCTTTGAGGTCCATGCCTCTCCCTTTCTTGATGTTGTCCTCCCAACTCTTATACAAAGTATAAAGACATAAAAAGCAAATTAATTAATTAAAACCCCTTGGCCCAAAACTACAGCGAGTACTTACAACTTCATTTCACCATTGGACTGTTTCATGAACAACCATTATACTGCTGAAGTCATTGGGTAAAGTAAATACTTTGTTTCTGGTTGTTGTTTTTAAAAAATTAGGTTAGAAGCTGTACACACGATAAAAGAATGGACAGTTAATTATTTAAGATTTGGAAAGCGGTTTTGTGGCGAAGGGGAAAGGCCTTTAGCCTTGGTGTGCGAAAGAATAGGGTACAATGCCTGCAGTCGAAAATCTTATCCGAAGAGCATCTTGGTGTCTCATCGATATTTAGATCTGGGGTCCTCTCTCACACAGTGCCTGTAACGGACAAGCAGAATTGAATCAACCAATCTAAAAAAAAATATTGACCTAATGAATAATTGAAAAAGGAACCAGTGAAATCAAGGACTTCCATAGCGTGTTTGGGTGTACCCTTGGTTACTTTCTGTCAGAAAAGATATATAGAGGGCGGGAGAGAGAGAGTGTGTGTGTGTGTGTGTGTGTTTGTGTGTGTGTGTGTGTGTTTGTGTGTGTGTGTGTGTGTTTGTGTGTGTGTGTGTGTGTGTGAGAGAGAGAGAGAGAGAGAGAGAGAGAGAGAGAGAGAGAGAGAGAGAGAGAGAGAGAGGGGGGGGGACAAGAGTTTAGATTATCACTAAATGTGTCTTTTCGTTAATTATACAATCAAAATGATAAGCTTATGTTTTGACTGTCTTTTAAACAATAAATAATGTTAGTTAGCTTAGTTCGAATGATAAAAAATAATTTGTTTGGAAATATTAATACTAATATTAAGTATGGGCGGTGCTTCTTTTCCTTGTTTTATAGAGAACGTGGCTGGGACGTTGTTGGAGATTTTTGTTGGGTTTTTTTTTCGGGGGGGGGGGGTCGTTCTTTTTTAAAATATCGTGGCCTAGATGTTAAGGTGTTTGCCTCTTATTCAATAAGTTTCGGGTTGTAATTGGGATAAAAACGGAAAAAAATGTTCTCCTTTCACATCCTTTCCTGCTCTAACAATGTTTTGTCGTCTGCATTCACCTCCGCTTTTAGATTCTTCCCCCCCAACCCTCTCCTCCTTTATTACTCCCTCCTCTGAGCTCCTGGCTGTTTCTGCAGCCTTTCTACACCTAAGCCACATCCCTGATCTTATGGTAGGAAAGATCTACACCTAGCCTTCTCCGACAAGGGCGAAAAATCTCGGAGGTCCCGTGTGCAAGTTGCACACGTTAAAGATCCCTTGTTGGTCTACAATCGATAAGAGTAGGCTTTAGCCACCACCCGGGCAAAATTCAAAATCTCCTACCAACTGTAAATGTTTAATGTGCCCCTGCACTCATAATATGACCTTATGCAGTTGCTTTGTTTTACAAACAGGAACACACAAACACACATACACAAACACATACACACACACACACACACACACACACACACACACACACACATAAATAAACACAGACACACACACATACACATACACACACAAACATACACACACACACAAACACACACACACGCATAATATATTTTTACAGAGCCCCATGAGTCGTCCGTAATGTACGAGTATTGGAAGAGATCTTAAAACGAGAGTGCCATTTCAACATGTCAATATTGACACATTGTGTCCCTCCGATATACGTTGATATATAAATAATATATTATGTTTTTTTAATTATTTTATAAATGCTGGGATAACAGGACTGGCCAGTAAAGACAAGGCTTAAGAGACCCCCCCCCCCACCTCCTAGCCGTTTTAGATATATTGATAAGGGAAATTTGGATTCACACACTCAAAGACAGAAGCATAATATCATATAAATATTATATATATATATATATATATATATATATATATATATGTATATATATAAATATATATATATATATATATATATGTCTGTGTATGTGTGTGTGTGTGTGTGTGTGTGTGTGTGTGTGTGTGTGTGTGTGTGTGTGTGTGTGTGTGTGTGTGTGAGGCAGCGTGGTGGAATCAGGCTCTCGTCAAAATAATCAAAGTGAAGAAACTTGCATTTTTCCACAGGTTTGAGAATTTTCATCAAATTTATATATTTTGGCTCATCACCTTTCACGCCCATTAAAGAACTCATTTCTGTGTGGAGTTTTCTGAAAAAAGTTTGTTAAAGGCACAAAAAAGTAAATTTTCAGTTACCACGGAGCTAAAGCTAAGGAAATAACTTATCTTTGGCAGCCATTTTCTCACTAATTTTACCTCTGAAAACAGGTGATCTCCACCTCCTTCATTTGCAAATATCTCGACTTGTATTCAAGATAAATGGATATTATTTTCATTCAAATAATGACAACTGAACAAGCTTTGAGATGATACCAATAACTCTACATGCCAAAAACTTGACAAGAGCCTGATTCCACCAAGCTGCCTCACGCTATTCATAAATATATAAAAGCTTCTCCGTGTTACACGGTCCATTTTCCAAAGTATAAACATCCAATACTCCACTATTATAGATCTATGGCTGATTATAGCAAACATAGAAACAGCACAAAACACTAAAAAAAAACCAAATGAAAACCAAAATTGGGTCGCGTAACTGATTGATTGATTCCTTTCTTAATTGTATTTTCTTTCATCTTTATTTTTATTATTACATTACATTATTCTTTCAGTTTTCATTCCATTCATTTATATGATTTCTTATTATATTGGTGTGCATTATTGTATTCCATTCTTTTCTTCATATACTCTATTCATGTTTTCATTTATTTCATTATTTTTATTCATATTTATTTATTTATTCATTTATTTATTTATTTATACGCTTCTTGCATTCATGTATTTCATTCTTCTATCTATTTATTTGGCCCTTGTATTCATTTATTTCATTCTTCTATTAATGTATTTATGACACCTAAACAAGGCAGTTTTGCAAACAGCCCATCACAATGTTTAATCATACCATTAGTCCAATAATCCTAATATTTACGATCATAAGAGTAATGCCATATCGGGTAACGAAAGACAAACGACTTTGGGGACATCTCTGAGTGCTCAGAAGACAAACTGCATTCTCTAAACTAGAATACAAGTTTGTTTGACACACAAAATGTGTCCCCGAAATGAAAAGAGTACGGGGGAAGTTGAATCAAGCAAATAGACGCATGCGATGGTATCAGACACTTGGGGGAGGAGGGGCCCAAATGAGCCTCGTGATAATGGGTAAAATTATCGTCCACTGCGATAAAGGCCTATCATTATCATCATTTTCACCCCCCGACCGGCTAGACAAAGGGGTGTCCCTTAACAAAAAGATCTCAGGCATCAGGCCGACCCTCGGGGTAGAAGAGCAGCTAGCGTATGGCGGGCCTCGGGTTTCATGCTGACACAACCACAGCTCATTAGCCCATGAATGGACGCGGCGCGGTGCGACTCGGTGCGGGGCGGTACGCGGGTGGCGCGCGGGCGATGCGCGGACGTGCGCCCACCGCTATTCATCTCGCTAGAATTGAAGGGGTGAGGAAAAGGGAGGGGGGGGGGGTGGGAGGGGAAGGAAGAGGGCATTTTTGAACGAGCGCGCTCGAATTTGTTTTGCGAGTGATCAGCTTCTCTCGTATGTGACTCCACTCGTCGAGCGCTGTGAAACAAGACCGAGATACCTCGCCTCTATTTGATCCCCCCCCCCCCCCGGCCCCACAAAACCTCTCCTCCTACGTCCCTTTGTTTAGACAACAGTGAGTGAATGAGGAAAAAAAGACGGACGAGGACGTCAGGCGGGAAGGAATAACAAAAGAGATGAGA